ACTTTTCTTTTTCATCCTTGACTTAATTTCATTGGTGCAAACTGGGTTTAAAGTTCCAAAGTTGTTTGCTCTCCATTAATTTAATGGGGTTTGGGGAGGGCAAGAAGGGATTTCCCTTCCCAGTGGGCTTAGGCAAAAGGAACCTGCTGCAATCTCTGCTAATTTGTTTGTTCTTCCTCATTTATAAATGTTGTTGTCATGAACACACACTGATGATGCTTGGGTGCAAATGTCCCAGTTTTCATCTTGTTAAGATTAGAGAGTCTGTATGCAGCTACAACTTCATGTATAGAAGGCCTTGTAGTGAAGAAAGCTGACTTTTGTTTAAAGTAATCACAAAGTGAAGGAAATAATTGATGAAAAAGGCTTTTTCTCCCAGATGGAAAGTGCCCAAAAATCTGAATCAGGAAACATCAATGACCGTATAGAAGGGGCATCAGTTCTTCTGCTCTAGCTGCCTTTTAAACAGGAGGCCTTTAAAGATTTTTATAAAAGACTTCCAATTAGAAGAAAATGTTCTTTCATCAGGTGCGAATACAAATGCCAGTAACAAAAAGATATTTTTTTCAAGAGACCTTTCTTTCTAGGCATGTTTTTGTTGTTTCAGTCCAGTCCCTGAAATCAGCTTGAAAGTCCATTTTCATTCTTCTATGTCAATTGGTCATACACAGATTAAAAATTGTCTAGTGGCTAGTCTTGGGGGTAAGCTTTAGAGAAAAGCACAGTAGGATGTGGGCACAGAGCAGGGATATTAACCAGCTGGGTCACAAGAAAAAAAAATGGTTTGGTTGCAATAGCAACTTAATGAATGAAGCTGTATGTCTCATGTCTCCATGGTGGCAGAGTATATCTCCTTCCTTCTTAAGACATTTGCCATGCAGACACAGAATTATCTAAAAGTAACTGTATAAGAAATGAATAAAACATTATTTAAAAATTGCTGTATAAGAAATAAATCAATCAATGTTTTTTTTATTCCTTTCTCCATCTTAAGATATAAATTTGATTAGGAAATTATTCAAAAATCCCCCCATAAAAGTCAATTTCACACCATTGGGGGTTCATCCTCAAAGTGGGACTTCTATAAATCTTCTCAAGCTGTTCTGCTAATTGAGTTTTGTGGCTCAAAAGACAGAGTCTGCAAGGTCAAGAAGCAAAGCTATGATGATTAAAAATCAGGAGGCAGAGCCTTGTGGAGACACAGGAAGCACAGCTCATGACTATACCATGGTAAGTTATATTCCTGCCACCAAACAATGTTATTCACTTCCTGGGTGAACCCTCTTTCTTTTGCCATATTTTGCAGCTACATATATGTAATAGCCATCCATCCATCCATTCCATTCCATTTCTAGGCCAGGTTTTCTCCAATGCAACATACACTGATCTCCTTTTCCCCACTTTATTTTCCCAGTCCAATGAGGTAGGTCAGGCTGAGAGACATAGTGACTGGCTCAAAGTCAGCTTGTGAGTTCAATGAGCCAGCATATTGTAATGGTTTGAGTGTTGGACTACCATTCTGAAGATGGCCGTAAAGTTTTAATTATCACCTTTTAAAAAATTGACAGAAAGTTTGTTTTGATTTGTAGCTATGAACTTTTCTCTACATAGTCATCATCCAGATTTATATATTTTCCCCATTATTCTTGACCCTCTGAATACTGGTATTGTAAAAGTCTGCAGATTGTTCTGTTCACTCTTGGTGATACTTCAAATCTCAGCTGAGTTTTAGTTTTCTGACCTGTTCCCACTTACAATACATTTGTGTCTAATAATAAACACTAGTAGTAGCAAAGTATTGGATGTCAATTATTGCCATATATCAAATTCTAAATGATAGCTATCAAATGCTATCACATATATAGCAGCACTGGAAATAAACATTAGCAGAATAAGTTTTTATGCAGGATTTCTTAAAGTAAATTTGTTTTACAGAACAGAGCATCTGCTTTCCTACACACAAGTCATCTCAATGTATGTCTACCACACATTGTTTATTAGCAACTAGAGACAGAGAAGGGAAGAAATCTATCCTTCACCGTATATATGGGGAAGAGGAATGGATACACAAGAATGCTCTAACATAACTGCTATTTTAGCCACTAGGGCAAGTCATTGACCATCTATCCATGCATCACCGAGTCCTTTCCTAAATTTAATGAACCTAGTTCTAGCACACAACAGGGATTCTGAGTGCCATGGCTTCTCTGTTCTTCACTGCTTCCTTCTCTGCTCTGTCCAGGGAGATATTTCATTACACTACTGTAGCTCCATTTCAGTGCCTCCTGCTACTATTACACAATTTTTTATCCATTATGAATGAATGGATATATTTAGAACCAACAGAGATTCAGGTGAAAAATACAAATATCACCTAATTTTTAAAAACTCATTTAGAGAAAACTACAAGCAAATTATTCAAATAATAATAATAAATGATTAAAGCAAATGGGATTGTCTGTTGTTATCTTTGCTAGATAAAATAGGAACAATTAAATCAAGAAGTCTCCCTAGAATTCTCTATCTGTGCAAATATATTTTTCAGCCAGTCCCTTGAAACCAGACAGAATTAACTGATAAACACATTTCCAGATTTGTTGGAAGCAGCAATAATGAGAAAATAATATATAAATCTCTATAGCTTTAGAGGATTCCTAACCCTGTTAATTGACTATGCTGCATAAATGGGTAATTCCAATTTATTTTGGATAGGTTTAATGAAATAAAAATTGAGCTAATACATATTGATAGAATAAGGTGGCACACATACTTAGTATAAGGAAATGAAATGTCCCTTCCTCGTTAGCTAATCAATAACATTCTGTCTTCTGGATCATATCCTGTTATCTCTACATAAACAAAATTTCCATTGAGAGACAAATAGATCCCACTGGATCCTAGAATGCTGTGGGGAATTTAGCACCAGTGTAAATTCAGTTGATGGCCGTATTGATCTTTATAACAGGGAACTGATGTAGGAAACTGGCAATGTGTGCTATGAGGACCCTTCCACAAAATCTGGTTATGCGTGGGTTCTCAATTCACCAGGGATTTAATGATATACTAGACTAGACTGAAATCCAGGTCATTAAAAATGTGGACCAAATTTGACCAAGAACAACAAATATTATTGAAAGTCTGTTCTGTGACAAGATGGAAGCAAAAAAAGAATATGTATCACTTTCCAGCCAACCTTTCTGGGGCAACATACTAAAGTGTGTGGTTCTTCTGGGCATTTCTTCAGGCAAAACAAAGACAATTTATTAACTGTATCATTCTGATTTTAGCCAGATTTTTCAACAGACAGTGTTTGACCAGTCTGAGTGGGTAAATCAATAGGAGTACACTGAAGGATTCTTCTGGACTACTTAGTAGCCCTTGATATTTATTTTTGTTATCCCACTTTTCCTGTAAAATATTATGTTTATTTAGAATCATAGAATTATAGAAGTGGAAGAGACCTTGAGGGCCATTAAGAGATTCCACCTAAACATTAGGAAGAATTTCCTGACAGTAAGAGCTGTTTGACAATGGAACACACTCCCTGCCATGCAGGAACACACAATCAAAGCACCCCTGACAGATGG